AAGAAGAACAGAGAATTGTGAGCTGAAAGAAGGAAAGAAATGGAAAAAAGAAGAAGAGAGAATCGTGAGCATTGGAGTCTAGAGAGAGAGAAAAGAAGAAAGCAATCAATGTGAAAGAGAGAGTAATAAATGAGAGAGAAAAGAAAGAGTAATAAATGAGTGAGTGAAAATCTGTGTCGAATTTAAAAAAAAAAAAAAATTGTTTGCTTTTTACTAGCTTGCGAGCCGGCTCTAACTTGGCTTGTTAAGCTGGCTCGCGAGCCAGGCTCGGATTTTTTTTTCTCTTTACGAGTCAAGCCGAGTCAAAAAATTAAAGGCTTGGCTCAGCTCGATTTGGACTAGGCTTGAATTCTTTTTCTTTTTCACGAGCCGAGCTTGTTAAGCCAAAAACTCGACTCGGCTCGTTAATAGCCCTAGACCTAATGAGCTGCTATCACTTATCTACTCATTCGATTAAATCTACTCTCTAAGCTGAATATTCTTTAACTTAGAGAGTGGGGGGGCTAACTGTTAGGGCCAAAATTCGTCTTGGGCTTGACAAGGCCCAATAACGAAATAAACATGTCACAGCCCAAGGCCTCAACCCAATCTCGATTGGGCTTACGCTTAAAATCACATTGTGAACTACCCACTCTACTAGTTGGGCTACCCTATAAGTTAAGCTAAACTCAGCCCATTAGCTTGCAACAGTCCATAAATAGGAAATCAGAATCCCATTCTATTTCCTCTTCTACTAAGATTCCAAATCTTACTCAAACTATTAAACTTAATCTGATAAGGTCAAGAAATCATATTTCTTTCTTGATAGGGATTATCTCCCAAAATAGGACTTAGTGTCTTACTAAGATTCCAAATCTTACTTAAACTATTAAGCTTAATCTGATAAGGCCAAGAAATCATATTTCTTTCTTGATAGGGATTATCTCCCAAAAAAGAGGACTTAATGTCCTACTAGGATTCCAGCCTCTTGGGTTCACTATAAAAACAGAGGCTTGCTCTCTCATTAGGCATGCAATCTCCCATAGTCAATTGACATTACTCAAAACCATCTATTTGCTCCTAAGTTCTTGCTTCCAAAAACCCGACGCCTCCACCGTAGTCCTAGCCTCCAACAAGACTCCTGGTAATTCTTCATCTCCTTAATTCTTATCAAATAATCTCTTTCAGCCTCGCTGACTTGAGCGTTGGAGTGCCTACGGCAAACACTACCCCGGTGTTTTCTGGAAGCTTCACGCTTGCCCTTTCATGTGTGCAGGTCTAGCGGATTGTCAGTGACCTCAATTTCATGGGATCAAACCTTATTTTCATGACGGTAGATTTTTTGCATCTATAGTTTGGCGCCCACGGTGGGGTCTTGACAATCATCTGCCAACGACAACTTACAACATGGGAGCAACTTACCCCCTATATGCCACTGTTTGACATAAAAGATTCGGGGAATAATTTTTTACAAATCAACCAAACATCGTCATTTGCTCAATTTAAAAAATATTACCCTAGTTATCTAATATTACCCCATCCAAACGAGCCCATATTATTATAAATAAATAAGATATAAAAAAATAAAAAAGTATACTATACAGTATACACATCATGAAAAAAAAAATCAATTATATATATATATATATATAGTATAATATCTTAATAGAGAGAGAGAGATAGAGAGAGAGAGAGAGAGAGAGAGAGATATGCCATTTATTTTTTTATATATTGCATTTTTGAGGTTAATTTGATTGTAATTGTTGGATGAGATGCCACTCAATGATATTTAATATGATAATCCAAACTCAATTTACAGCGTTCTTGGTTATATGATAGTTCCAGAATTACTATTATTTTATGTATATATATATTCTTTTTATTTTATAAATCAATGTTGTTGTGAGGTGTAATAAGTTTCTCAGGGTTGCTTAGTGTTGATAGGATAAATCGTACCAATCAGAGATATCTGGCCAGTCTCAAGAGGGGTCAGACAAGATGTATGCATGATTACGAGTAACTGGCAAAGTTGATAATACATCGTAACAAAATGAAGAACACAAAATATTTTATAATGGTTTGGTGGTTATAAAAACCAAGCCTACATCCACTATCATATTATTATTGTGGGGTGTCTACATGACTGAAATGAGATTATAGAAAAGGAAGTTCGCAAGTGTGAATTGACGATATTCAGTCCTTGCGACCTATCCACTCTTAACTCTCTCTAAAAGGTTAGCGTATTGTCCTCTTGAGCTTTACTAATACTGAAATCCCCTAGAACAGAGGTAGATAACTCCTTTAATACTCGTCCCGTTTGACAATGGGCGAGAGTTGGTATTACGGGGTTCGTTGTACGCATAATCCCTTTAATCAGGATCTAGTCAATAATCTCATGCTTATTGTAGGTCGGTCTATGCTAACAACAGCTTAACATATACTTATGACAGTAATCACCTTGTAAATAGAAGTCAAACACTCACAAGATGACGCATGGGAAGGCCTTGGCTGTTGATTGTTGTGCACTTTAAGGACACGTGTTATAAATATGACCGTTTGAAGATTAGGCATAAAAACACTTAGGATATGCATGACGGGATGGTATATCGGGTCACTATATTATGATATATCTACATCAAAGAAAATGCTATACTATACAAATAAATTATAAAATGAAGACAATATAAATATATGTGGTAATAAAAATCTTTGGAATTTAGAGGCTGATGACAACACCAAATTTGAAATCATTTCCGGTGTAAACGACATGTTCCCACCCAAGGTTAAGTGAAAAAACAAATTCCCACCCCTGGTTTCATTAATTTCAGATCCCACCCTTAAATTAGCAGAAAATCATTTAACGAAATGGTCAAAGGTAAAATGATCATTTACGTTAGATTAAATTTTAGACAAAAATGAAAATTTTAAAATGACCCTCCTTTAACAAGGGTAAGTGGTTGGCTGGTGGCTTTTGGGTGAGGAATTTTGTCAAACAGGTGGTGGGCGGGTTGGCTGTGGGAAGGTTAGTAACGACGGGGAGTCGGCGACGACCAGACAATTACACACAACAGCAATCAAATATAAAAAACAATCGGTAGGGAACATTTGTTATTGGATTTTATTCATTAATAAAATGAGTATTTTTGTAATTAATGGAAATGAAATTTGACAGTGGACTTCATGATTGGAGGAAAGGAGCGAACAAAACATGAATTCATGGCTTTGGCAACTGCGGCTAGATTTAGTGGCAATACATACGAATGCTGGGGAGACTTCGTGAAGTGAGTCCCAACCGTTTACTTACTGTGGAGGAGTTTGAGAGAAGTCTTGGTTTATCCCCCTTGGTTCAGCAAGTGATGCAGAGAGATGTCGAAGATGGGGGCAATTTGGGAGCAGTCGCGCGAACACAAAAACCCAAGTAGGAGAAATGGGGTTCGGCCCTGGCTAGGTGGAGGTGGTGGTGGTTTAAGGATGATATGAAGAAAGTGGGTATTAGTGAAATAAAATTGAAATCAAGATGATATTTCTAACTCTATTAATTTGAGGGTTAAAAAGTCATTTGATATTTTATTAGCTCTCTCTACTCATCTGTCATAACTTAAAATTCATGGTGTTGATTTAAGGATGAAAATCTGGTAAAAACTTGTTATTTTGCTAAACCTTTGTGGAAACATGTCATTTACTCTCATTTCAAATAAAAATATTTTTCCAAATGATTTGAATGAATGAATGTGATATTAAATTGTGTATGACAACTTTGTACCAAACATATTCTCATTCAAAGCAAAGCCCAAGAGGGATTTTAATGTATGAAGTTGGACTTTTCAAATATTATCCAAAATAAATTAAAAGAAACAAATAAGTAAAAATATGTGGATACATAATTCCACGCGCTTCAAGTCTTCAACTAAACGACACATTTTTATTTTATTTTTAAATTTGATATGTTTAGTGTTCATAATTAGACAGTAGAGTTAACAATACATTAATCTAATTTGTACGTGGAACAATATAATAAATTACATGAAACATGAGATATGGCAGTTAACTTGAAAATTGGGATTGATGTTTTCTTCTGATTTTATTTTGCAATGTTGGAGATTATTTATCTTGAACATTGATGAGATATTGACATTTAAATAAATCAGAAACATAAGTGATATACAATTCACAAATAGGATAACCATAACTTGATGAAAAATTTAGACATTACATTGATCTTTATTACAAGGGGGTAAGGCCAACGGGCACCAGCCCCACAGGTACCAAAGAAAGAAAGGGCACATTTTTCCGAAAATCTGGAGGAAGTGCACAAGTACGGTACCCCCTTCCACCCCGTTTACTGAGAACCACCAGCAACAGAGATAGAGGGAGTAGCAGAGGGGGAAGCACCAATAACATTAGCATCTAAGCCAGGACCCCGTAGAGAAAGGTAAAACCAGTTCCATATCCGGGTGCAGATTAAGTTTACCTAACGGCAACTGTTGGCTAGGCAAGGAAGGGCTTAAAGCACATAGGCGAAGCCTCCCCGTAATTGGATGGCCGGACATGTGGTTTACTTTCAAATAATTAATAAACCCATATTTAATCTCTTCTCATATGGTTTACTTTCAAAATAACTAAATAAACTCATATTTAACCTCTTCTCGTAGATGACAAGATTTGGTAGGAGCTTCCCACTGTGGGCGCCAGTGCAGGGATTTCATATTTTTATCCAAAATAATAATGTGATGCAATACAACACGTGTAGTAATGATTGCATAATTTTTGACAAGTCGATGTAAATGATAAACTAACGCTGTTATGCGACACATAGCTTTACTCTGTTCTTAAATAAAATTCACTTTTGAAATTAGTTAAAATAAGTACAAACTAATCCAAACACTCTAATTATCAATAACTAAATATATAAAGTTCACTCACAAATAACAAAAAAAATGCATCTATACAACCAAGAATATTCTCATCCACAAGTTCAAAACAGAGAAAAATGGATCATCTAATAGAGTCTACATGATAAATAAACCAACGAAAGAAACCAGAAATTTTGATTCAAGATTGTATAGAAAAAAAGAACAAGATTATAACTCAAATCCAGATCCCAAAAAGGGCTGTGTATTTGATTTTAAAATTTCTATGAAAACAAGACTGCCTTCTGGCACTAGCAGTAAAAAGAATGAATGCAACATTAAACTACAAAAATCGGAAAGGAAAAAAAGAAATATATATGAACAGTAAAATATGGGGGCAATTACAGGCGAGGCTGCAATTCTGAAGCTACGTGAATAGTGTTACAACATCTCTTCGGTATCCTCTTACAATCAAAAGTCTCGGCACATTCTCTACCAACATATCCATATATTCCATGTAGAAGTAGGCCGGGTGGTTAGTTGGCGGTGGCGGTAGACTAACAAGCACAACCGCCGCCATTCTCGAGTGTCTCAGTATTGTTGAATTCAGCTTCAGCATTGTGTGAAGAAACTTCTCCACCTGTTGCTCATTTACAATGACAGGCTTCCCGTCAGCCATCAATGGAGTCCCTTCCTTCTCAGCTGTAGCCTTCATTTCAGCCATGTAATGAGCAATCCGACGCTGACCAGCATTGTATGCGTCCAATGATTCATCTTGTTGAGGTACTCCCTCCACTTGTACCTCCCACGATTTCATTGTTATGACAATCACTTCAGCGTGCATCCTTAGATCATACAAAAACTTCTTTACATCAGCCTTAAGCATCTCCGCATCTGAATCCTCCTCTGCAATGCAGAAGACCTGAATCTTACAGCTTTCGAAACTCTCCTTTGTGAGGAGGAGCTGAGAGAGTAGGAGCATGAGACCACCGTCTCTCACAATCCAGTATAAATCAATTGTACCATACTGCCTTTGATACTCATTGGGCCATTCATCAAGGCCCTTGACAATCACTACTGCCTTGTTTGCAACGATGCAGTCATTAATAATTCCAACGAAGGTGGCTGGGATTTCAGTTAGGTTTTCACGACGCCAAATTTCTGGGTATCTCATGACAACAATGTTGGGTTTCAGATTACCAAGGCCCATGGTCTGAACAATTCCTCGGAAACCTTCTGTCATATTGGGTGCTACAACTATCTCTGCTACACCTTCGCAGCGCTTGTACTCAATGTAGGTATCAAGCTGCCTGCAGGCAACCTTTGCATCTTCAGCACATTCATGGTAATCTCCGTCTAGTATAGAAACAAATATGGACATTCCACGACCTTTTTTCTTCATGCAGTTTGCAAAGTCACAAAGTTTGGGATGGCAGGGCACATTTTCCGGAAGCTTCCCCCACGGTCGGCAGAATATCAATGGAATGGGATACCAATTCTTTGGGTGCACTTGGTTTGCTGCAAAGATTAATTATCAAAGGTTTACTACAGAAATTCAACATATTATTATTTTTTTAACAATGGGATGCAAAGAATTTGAAAGAAAAAACCAAAAACAAAAGACATACAAAACTTCATCAAACATTAAGGTTGCGTTTGCCTTTTTATCTCCCCACTCTTAATAGGTCTAAATTTAAGCTAAATAATAGGTGTTAACACATCAATATTAAGGATTTGTAAGGTTAAATTGTTTAGTTCTATAAATTAGTAAAACTAAAAGTAAATGATTATAGACACTTGACCTCAGATATATACCACCAACAACAACAAATTATAGTTTCCAGATAATCTATCTGATCATGTCGGTATCACAAGCATAGGATGTGGCATTTGACTGCTTCAGACTGAGAGATCCGACAAGAGAATCCCTCTCTTGTGGCAAATCAGTGCCTCCTTTTTCCGACACAACCAACACAATAGGATAGATCATTCTGATGCTAGCAGTATACCAAGACATGCATTTATGAGAAAAAGTCAACCATAAGAGAGAGTGTTGACAAGGAAGCAACGACTTTGGGTTGGCTATTTAACATATAGATAACTTTAATTATGTCTATTGGTACTTTTCATGGCCAGAAAAAAGTAACACTTTGTCACTGTATTCAAATGTATTCATCTGAAAATCATTTGTAAGGGAAGAAAACAAACAAAAGAAGTCTTGGATCTTGTTAGATTAAGATGTAGTTAGCCGGAAAAAAAGAAAAAAAAAAACCATAGCAGTCTCAAAAGTATTGTCATCCCATTTGAGAGACTAATAATTCTTCGATTTCTAATTTTTGGAAAAAGCCCGCCAAGTACACCACGAGTTTACAGTAACTTTTTTTTTTTTTTAATAACCAAAGTGTCCGGGCCAGCTTACGCGTACCTCGATTAATCCTCGAGAGGAGTTTATAGTAATTTGCCCATCACCAACTTCAAACACCCACCAAACTATTCAATAAGGAACATAGCATATCTTCATTAATAAAATCAGAGATTTTTTTTTTTTTTCCAATAAGCCATCATGTTGTCATTATACAGTCTACAGATGCTGCTAAGAGAGTACCAGTAATAGATGTTATATGGTAAGATTTACCTCCCAAAGATCGAAGACTGCGAAGGGCTAACTGAAAATAAGCACTCTTAAAACCGTCTCCCCAATCCCCAGCCTTTCCTTTAAGGCTCACATAATAATATATTAGGCTTGCAAGGGCCAGAGACACCACAGTAAATGACCAAGAGATCAAGAACATTATAACTGCAGGAAAAAACAAAACCAAAAAGTAATTAAGATTCACATAGAAAACATACCTATACTTGCCCATCTAGTTTCCTCTCATGCCAAGATATTCACATTGTTTTCTTTTAAGTGAAAATGTACACATGCATTTTAGAGGTCAATCGCTAATGTATATAGCTTCAAATGAATAACAGAAAAGGAGACGTACCAATACAAAGTGCTGCCCCGAGAAAAGACATGCTCCAATGGTGAAATTTCCACCGGGGACGCCAACTGGGAGCATCTAGAAGATCGAGAAGGAAGCAAGATAAGTTCACACCCGCATAACACAGAAGGAAAAACATTGTTATAGTCGGCGTGATAAGGTCCAGATTCCCAAATATGACACATCCAACGCAGATGAACGCAGTAAAGAATGTAGCTATGTAAGGCTCATTCCCATCTGCTACCTTGAAGTAATTAAGAATAGGCAGAATATCATCATTGGCTATTGCTGCGAGGAGGCGTGGAGCACCTGTCATGCTTTGAAGAGCGGCACCTAAGGTTGAGAGAATGATTCCTATGTGAACAATTGCTGGCAAAGGCCAAGCAACTGTAGCAGTAAATAGCCTGCACAGAGAGATAGCTCATCACTATAATAGTTTATTATTTTACATTCCAAGTAAAAAAAGGGTTTATTTCTACATTCATACACATCCTATTTCTTTTTTTCATTTTTGGCATAGAAATCTGACATAACACTATAAAAAAATCAAACAATTTACGTGTCACAATTATATTCAACTCGCCCTTAACTGTTAACCCAAGCCCAAGAATTCTGGAAGTGATGTCTATGCAGTGTATAACAGGAACTGTTAGCCAACTGGTTAAGCTGGCTCTAACACCTGGAACAATTAAGACATGGGTACTATATAGATAGATAGATAGACGGAGAGAGACAGAGAGAAAGATTAAATAATATTGGAGTCTTAAGGTCTTACTACTAACTTACGCTTTTAAAACAAAAATTTCTGTAACATGATATCACAACCAAGTTGACCAGATAGTCTTATGTTTGAATACCCCATTCTATTAATTACGTTATAAGCTGCCAAAAAAGGGCAAGTAAATAAATAGGAACATGGGTAAATATGTTTGAATACCCCCATTTGACTACCCCCTTTCTATTAACTACCATATGCTGAAGAACAACGGAAATATATGGGTAAATATGCAAAATAAACATGTTTATAAACATATAGCAGTCGATTTGCCCAGCAAAAGTTGCAGAAAAATGAAAATCTGGACCTGTGAGACAAGCAGTGGCTTCAATGAAATATGAATACCTGTCTGTCAAAAGCTTCTCTCTGGTTGCAAGTGCTCCAAAAAATAACACAGAAATGAGATACATTACAGTTGTTGTAAGAGTTGCTGCCAAAGTTCCAATGGGGATTGAACGCTGAGTATCTTTCAGGGAGGCAGATCGATTTGACCCAGCCATAATTCCTGTTACAGCCGGGAAAAAGAGACCAACCAATGCACTGAAAGGTGAAAATGAAATTTAGTTAGAAAAACCACAAAAAGCTAATATTATTCCATATACTATTCACCAACCAATGTGTAATAATGTTGTCAGTTTAAATTGAAATGTGCGTATCCAACTGTCATCAGGCTTCAGCTAGTCCCATCTTAGATGGTTTAAATTCAAGGGGTAAAAAGAAATGAATGTTCTCATAATCTATCCACAATAGATATACTTAAAGCTTTAGAGATATTCCAGCAAGACCTCCCTCTTGCTCTATTTCATTAGAAAGATCTCAAGCCCTAAGGAGAGCGAAAACCCTGGGGGCTGTGCTATTATGGCTATTTTGTGGGTTATTTGACCAGAACAAATAGAAGAACTTTTTAGACAAAAGTGGGGAAGACGCTCATCTTTATGGGACAAAGCCAAGTTCTGACCATGTTCATGGGTTTCAGTGTCTTCAAATCCCGATATGTGGCTTTTTCTTCAATCATCACCATAGGGAGGCGGAAGTATTTTGACAGACTTCATTTTATTCACTTCAGGTCCCTTTTATATTTCCTAGTCCTTGCTTTTTATTCTTTTTAGTTCTCTTGACCTATTTTAGTATTGTCTATATGTTGACAACTAGTTCACTATTTTGTAAATTAACATATTGAATTATATCAATCAATTCCTTTCAAACATATATATGAACATAACAGCAAAGAAAATTCTTAACATGTCTTACTTGAAACTCCAGGTAACAGCTCCATTAGGATCGGGTATTCCCGCATTGTTTGTTTTCTGGTAATCTGAACTCCAGTTATCTTTAAAAGTTTTCAAACTCAAGCCCGTAATTCCAGCTGTGACAAAAATTACGAAAAAAAAAACCATCATATTCCATGCTGAACAGGATCCAAACAAGAAAAAAAACACTAATAAAAACAGAGACAAATGTGATGTCCCGTTTTCCTTTTTTGTATTGAGGTCAAAATCGTATAAAAAATACAAATGGCCTACACTTCTCACTGCATTTATCTAGAATCAAAGTTGACCTACCTTGTCAGCATATCAATCTATAATGTTATTTTTCCTAAAAGTCTTCCACACAAATTTCAATATGTAACCCCTACTAGAATGACCCATGTCAATAAAGAACTCTGACTTTATACATCACCGAGCAACGCAAAAAGTAAATTTGAAAAATAACTGTAGGACTTGCATAAAACTGTCAAAATTATATACAAATCATTCACTACCCCCCAAAAAATCTACTATCAAAAAATAATAAGCATAGGAATTTCATGTAACTGTCAAAATATACAAATCAATCTCCCCTCCCCCAAAACGGAAAAAAAAAATATTAAGCAACCAGTTTTATATTCCCATGTTAACAATGCAAGCAATAGAACTTATGAAAATCAACCCACGGTTCATAAGTTCAAAAAATTGTTATATAAAAGACATAATACGAAGTCAGTGAGAGAACCCATCTCTCGGAGAAAAAATATGAAGAACTTACGTGCAGGGTAATCTTTCTTTGCCAAAAGAACCCCAACAAATATGCAGAATAGAGAGAATAGAACAGGTACGAGGAAAGCAGGTGCAACCCGATTGATCATTTTCACACCACCAAAAACAATAAAGCATATGATGATAGTCACAACAATCCCATAAATTTGTAGGTCATGTGAACTTGGACTTTGTATGGATTGTGCAGTTGCTGTGCCATTAACTTTCGTAACCGTCTCTACATTGAAAGCACAGATGAAAGTGAAATAAATTAGCACAAGGTTATTAATTTATGTCTTCGAATTGTATACTATGCTCATTGTAAACGACTATCAACAACACTATCAATTACATATGATACCCAACCTCAAACTAATGTGTTTTTAATCAAAAACAAGTTCAACATATTAATATCAAAAACAAAAAATAATAAAAGAGTGAGCCAGTACTGTACCATTACAGGACAGTGCATGCATATACAAAATAACAGTAAAGAGAAAAAAGAATCAAGAAATCATTTAACAGCCTCGCAATTTTGCTAAAATAAAGAAGAGCAGAATCTCAATAAATAAACTAATAACTTACAGCCCTAAGGATGAAATAAAGTCAGCTTCATCCCATAAAAAATTTAGGTCCTCTTTAAGAGCATCTTTAAAGTTCTTCCACTTCTTGCAAATTAAATAATCCAAAAGATAACAAAAACAGCACAAATCCAAAAAAGATACTGGCTTACTTCCTCAACGTTTTTCATCAAGGAAACACATAAGGCTGGTACACCCAAGACAAGTTAATAGTCCTAATAAGTTTGTTCCTTAAGTTTATTGTATTTGGAGAGAAGAAATAGGCATATTCTTTTTCTTGCAAATTACACAGCAAGATTATAGGTAAATATTTAGTCTTGCTTCTTAAATTATGTCAAAATAATTTTGTTTGCAGTGCGCCAGAATCCATAGAAAGATGTAATTTTATGGGGGATTTAGATGTGTCAATGTGCATCAGCTTACACCCAAAAATTAAAGCTTTATATTTCAGACATCAGAGGATGCAAGTGAAGCAAAATAAAGAAATCCTAATTTTTCTTTAATAAAACATTTTAACTAGGATATTACTTAAATATTATTTGGAGAGAAAACTTGATTGTTATTTTCATTCTCTTTTCTCTTCCAACTCTTTTTCTATTTCTTATCTTTTACTTTATCTCCTCTATTTCTAGTCTCTCTCAATAACTCTCCTTTCTTTCTACTATTTTTACCACTTTCTTCTCTTCTCTTCTACCTCTCCCTAATTTCAATTCAATAGATCTCTTAATTTAAATTATTGTATTCTTCTTCTGTAATTCCTTTCTTTTTATGTATTCAATCTGCTTCTTTCCAATATCTACTCTTCTCTTTTCTTTCCTTTCTTTCCCAAATTTTCTGCTTACTCTCCTACGTGCACATGCACTCAGAGACAATGTGAGATAGAGGTGGAAAGATGGAGGTTGATATATTATTAAACCAGGCAATTGCAAGGTTAAACTCTACATGAAAGATCTTCCAATCCAATGTCAACAAGTCAACATTCTGTAATAAACATAGCTAAGAATATATCAACCATTTACAAAGCAGATCTCTTTCATAAAATAAAAGAGAAGAAACACTATATATACAAGGTTATATTTCTTTATTCACCATCAAACAACACTTTCTATGCTTTTTCTGCTATTAGAAAATATTCATACTGGTCAGATATCAACTAAGGTTAACACTTATCTTAATACAGCCAATTGAATCTACATCACTCAAACTTGTCAGCTGCTCCCAAATGGGATATGGGTTATGATAAATGGTAAAAGAATATATATATATATACCCAAATGGGATATGGGTTATGATAAATGGTAAAAGAATATATATATATATATAAAGAGTATTTAGATATCCTGCAACACATTGTCAATCACTACCTCTAAAAATCCCAGCAGCAGGTACGGCTTTTAAGAAGGTTTCTACAGCTCCCAACACATACCTGAAATCACAAGGCAAAAACAAACAAAAAGCATGGATGTTAGCATATGTAATTGATAATAAATCATATATTATTAAGTTACCAAGATCTTAGAACATCTATTATGAACCTCAAGTCCAAGATACCCATGGACCACAATCAATCATATGCTTTTATTATGCCTAAAAAAAAAAATTCACAGCATACACTCACAGAGCTCCAGCAACTGCATTCCCAAGGAAAAAGCAGAGTCCAATGCTCACTCCAACCTCTGGACCAAGGGCACGACCAATGAGATAATATGGTCCCCCACCCTGCAAGTGAAAATTCAAAAAGCAATTAGTACTCAAACCAAAATGAAATACTCAGAAAAGGTGTAGTAATTTCTGAAACCCAGTACAGAAACAGGAACAAATTATAAGTAAATTATTAAAAGAAATGCATCACCCAAATTAGACCAAAACAAAGTATTCTTGATAAGAAACAAAACTTGCATTAGAAGTATGGGAGATAACAAAAGTGAATAACCCATCTAGAAAAACCATGATCAGTTAGCAGAAAACACATCTGGATCTTTACAAAATGTATACTGTCCAGCCATATTCTATATCTATTAATTACAAAATCATTTGTACTCTCAGAAAACAACTTATTATCACAATCCATCAGCATTAAGCATGCATGACTCAAATTACCAACAAGTAAATGGAATATAGCAGGGACGCCCCATTGCCAAAGAGAGTCAACCATAAAAAGATTCATGCATGGAACATCTCAGACTAACCATGGACCAATCAACAGAACAGTCTAAAATTAATGTCCATTCCACCATAAATCCTCTAACAACAGGCATATATACACAGATTCATGGAACTCATCGAGAAGGACAGGCATCAAGAGATTATTCATCTATTGGTTTTGTGAGGGGAGTCACAAGTGAAGAGTATTAATCAATTGGTAGCTACAGAAACTTACAATAAGCAAACTATCAGTCACGAGATTTTGAGAAGGAATATCAAGATGGCAGAAACTTTTACTAGCCATCTTTTCATGTAATTATACATTCAACAGTTTGATTCCTAACTTTAACCATAATCAAAGGAGGAAAAAAAAGTCTCCAAAGGGTGCATAGGGAATGTATATCCCCTCATATCCATAAAATAAGAAAATTGCAAAGACCCATGAAAAGTGTCCATAAGATCTGATTTAAAATCCTTTCAATGATGAACTTTCATCAAAAGGCATACCATCATTCTGGTTTACATCTAAAACCTAAACTACTATTAGATTAAGATTACGAGAAATCTGAATTTTCAGAAAGTAAATTGACTTGTGTAACCAAGCTGTAGCCTTATGATACTATCTTCACACACAAACACTGCTATGGGTGCATAACAGAACTCACCACAACTTCTGTCCTATCAATTAATAGCCCACAAAATGTTATTTCAAAAATCAAACAGGAAGATTAGGAGCCATTGACATGCATTAAATTTGGACAATAATGTGCCGCCCAATCTCAATTTCCAATGTTCCCTATCACCATACTTTCCACCCAGAAATCATCACCATTTACAATCAAATGCCAAAAATTAACAGATTTGCACTTCTACAGGCCATGTAAACAAACAAATGCTCCTCGTATTCATGCAAATACCACTAGAAAAAATCTTAAATCCGGTTATTTATTAGCCTCATAACTTTATAAATCATTTCTTTGCATCAAGGAAAAAAGGAAATTGCCACCACTCACCAATTAAATAAAATGTTATGATATTTTCTTCTATTGTTTGGTTTTCTTTTTATGAGGAACGATGAAAGATGTATCAATTAATAAGAGATATATAAAAGCGAACAAGCGTCCACTAAGAAAGCCAAGCTTGAAAAAACATAAGAGCTATACATAAGTGTATACCCTACAGCCCAAAAATGTCAATCATCAAAAAATGACCCAAAAATAGCCATATGTTCCCAACAATCAAAACTAAACATGGCCTAAAACTCCAACCTAATGAAAATGAATAAAGCAGAAAAAAAATATCTTGAATTCTTTTTTCACAATGAGCAGATGTCTTCTTCTCTGTTAATGTCAAAAGCCCTTCTAGTCCTCTGAATCCTAATTACCCAAAAAAGTTGCCAAAACAGCACATTTTCACAGAACTTTAGCTCTATGGTCTCTGCCAAAAAACTGTCTAGTAACTCAAAAAAAAAAAAAATAATAAAAAAAAAATTGCAGTAGGCTGGAATAAGCCAAGAGGTATTAGCTATTTGAATCAATTTGAGCCACATACCAACAGCTAAGGGGCAATGGAGGAATTGATGTTATAATACAAAAAATGTTATTACAATTGTATATCACCATATACTATAGTCTATCACAAAATATATTTTAAAAATCCAAGTAATTTCCAAGAATCACAAATCATACTATATATTTATCCCTGAAATATTAAAAATAGTCTATAATATGTAGGGGTATAAAAAAGTGGAGGTTTTAATCTTTGATTATTCCCTAACAAGCAACAATAAACAATAGCATCCCAAAGATACAGCAAATGCACCAGCTAGCTCCAAAATAGAGGAGATTTACTTCAATGCCCTCATATTAACCAATCTACATAACCCCTTAGAACTATCTGTCTGAAAGGAAGCACTTTTTAAGACATGAAAAATGCTTCACACTCCAGACCACTGCAAAGTACTGACAAACATAACTGCAAGACAATTCAAGAATCAGTCCTCAATTCTAACACAACTTCACTTTTCAGGTACAGTCTATTGTTTAAATATGGTAAGTAGTCCTCCAATATACCATTTAATGTGTCTTTTCTTCTCCCTCATAAACCAGTAGTAAAGATATTAAGGATCAAGAACATAAAATTGACAGAGTTCATAAAGAATGATTACCCTGCAATAGCAAAATCCAAGTAATTGTGACTAGACTCACTACATGCCCTAAACATATTTATATCTTTAAATTTACAAAAAGTCCTTAGCTTATATCAAAATGATGGTACTAAATTCAAAATAGATAAGCAAAAAAGCAATCCGGAGTAATTAATCATAAGTATAATGTACCTTCATTGCACCATTCGTTGCAATAGCACTTAATGATATTGAAGTCAAGAAAGTGCACAGACCACAAAATGCCACCAGCACCAGGGACTCGCCTATGCCAGCCATCCCAACAATCCTGCAATTTAGAAAAATTCACAAAGGTAGCAAAAGCAATTAGTTAGTCTGAATGGTCAAAACACACAGCTGAAGTTGGCTAAGAATTAATAAAATGAATTTTGATAATTTCAAAGTTACTGGACAAGAACTCCACCAACTTCTCTCTCAAATACTAAGGCAGTATCATCGATAAAAAGCAAAGCAGACGCTCAATTGACAGGGACAAATAGATTGATTTAAATACAAGAGTAGCAAAGCCAAAATTAACATAAGGGAATGTGAGTTATACCATGTGAAACGGATGTAGTAGATAATTCCCAATATGCTTTGCAAGCACGGAATAAATACACCCATCATCGTACCCAATTTTACCTCACTAGGCTGCAAAGGAAAAGCATCAGAAAGCATGTAAATTGGAGTTACTAACACATCATTCAGATTCACTGTTTCCAGACATAGCCAAAAATTATTTCAAGAATATATGCAAATTAAAGAACTATCTGACTTATTTAACTTTATAGATATACCATCTTCCACATAGATATATTATAGAAAACAAAATAATCAAACAACACTTTCTATGCTTTTTCTGCTCTTAGAAAATATTCATACTGGTCAGATATCAACTAAGGTTAACACTTATCTTAATACAGCCAATTGAATCTACATCACTCAAACTTGTCAGCTGCTCCCAAATGGGATATGGGTTATGATAAATGGTAAAAGAATATATATATATATACCCAAATGGGATATGGGTTATGATAAATGGTAAAAGAATATATATATATATATAAAGAGTATTTAGATATCCTGCAACACATTGTCAATCATTACCTCTAAAAATCCCAGCAGCAGGTACGGCTTTTAAGAAGGTTTCTACAGCTCCCAACACATACCTGAAATCACAAGGCAAAAACAAACAAAAAGCATGGATGTTAGCATATGTAAATGATAATAAATCATTTATTAAAAGATCTTAGAACATCTATTATGAACCTCAAGTCCAAGATACCCATGGACCACAATCAGTCATATGCTTTTATTATGCCTAAAAAAAAAAATTCACAGCATACACTCACAGAGCTCCAGCGACTGCATTCCCAAGGAAAAAGCAGAGTCCAATGCTCACTCCAACCTCTGGACCAAGGGCACGACCAATGAGATAATATGGTCCCCCACCCTGCAAGTGAAAATTCAAAAAGCAATTAGTACTCAAACCAAAATGAAATACTCAGAAAAGGTGTAGTAATTTCTGAAACCCAGTACAGAAACAGGAACAAATTATAAGTAAATTATTAAAAGAAATGCATCACCCAAATTAGACCAAAACAAAGTATTCTTGATAAGAAACAAAACTTGCATTAGAAGTATGGGAGATAACAAAAGTGAATAACCCATCTAGAAAAACCATGATCAGTTAGCAGAAAACACATCTGGATCTTTACAAAATGTATACTGTCCAGCCATATTCTGATATCTATTAATAACAAAATCATTTGTACTCTCAGAAAACAACTTATTATCACAATCCATCAGCATTAAGCATGCATGACTCAAATTACCAACAAGTAAATGGAATATAGCAGGGACGCCCCATTGCCAAAGAGAGTCAACCATAAAAAGATTCATGCATGGAACATCTCAGACTAAACATGGACCAATCAACAGAACAGTCTAAAATTAATGTCCATTCCACCATAAATCCTCTAACAACAGGCATATATACACAGATTCATGGAACTCATCGAGAAGGACAGGCATCAAGAGATTATTCATCTATTGGTTTTGTGAGGGGAGTCACAAGTGAAGAGTATTAATCAATTGGTAGCTACAGAAACTTACAATAAGCAAACTATCAGTCACGAGATTGTGAGAAGGAATATCAAGATGGCAGAAACTTTTACTAGCCATGTTTTCATGTAATTATACATTCAACAGTTTGATTCCTAACTTTAACCATAATCAAAGGAGGAAAAAAAAGTCTCCAAAGGGTGCATAGGGAATGTATATCCCCTCATATCCATAAAATAAGAAAATTGCAAAGACCCATAAAAAGTGTCCATAAGATCTGATTTAAAATCCTTTCAATGATGAACTTTCATCAAAAGGCATACCATCATTCTGGTTTACATCTAAAACCTAAACTACTATTAGATTAAGATTACGAGAAATCTGAATTTTCAGAAAGTAAATTGACTTGTGTAACCAAGCTGTAGCCTTATGATACTATCTTCACACACAAACACTGCTATGGGTGCATAACAGAACTCACCACAACTTCTGTCCTATCAATTAATAGCCCACAAAATGTTATTTCAAAAATCAAACAGGAAGATTAGGAGCCATTGACATGCATTAAATTTGGACAATAATGTGCCGCCCAATCTCAATTTCCAATGTTCCCTATCACCATACTTTCCACCCAGAAATCATCACCATTTACAATCAAATGCCAAAAATTAACAGATTTGCACTTCTACAGGCCATGTAAACAAACAAATGCTCCTCGTATTCATGCAAATACCACTAGAAAAAATCTTAAATCCGGTTATTTAATAGCCTCATAACTTTATAAATCATTTCTTTGCATCAAGGAAAAAAGGAAATTGCCACCACTCACCAATTAAATAAAATGTTATGATATTTTCTTCTTTTGTTTGGTTTTCTTTTTATGAGGAACTATGAAAGATGTATCAATTAATAAGAGATGTATAAAAGCGAACAAGCGTCCACTAACAAAGCCAAGCTTGAAAAAACATAAGAGCTATACACAAGTGTATACCCTACAGCCCAAAAATGTCAATCATCAAAAAATGACCCAAAAATAGCCATATGTTCCCAACAATCAAAACTAAACATGGCCTAAAACTCCAACCTAATGAAAATGAATAAAGCAGAAAAAAAATATCTTGAATTCTTTTTTCACAATGAGCAGATGTCTTCTTCTCTGTTAATGTCAAAAGCCCTTCTAGTCCTCTGAATCCTAATTACCCAAAAAAGTTGCCAAAACAGCACATTTTCACAGAACTTTAGCTCTATGGTCTCTGCCAAAAAACTGTCTAGTAACTCAAAAAAAAAAAAAATAATAAAAAAAAAATTGCAGTAGGCTGGAATAAGCCAAGAGGTATTAGCTATTTGAATCAATTTGAGCCACATACCAACAGCTAAGGGGCAATGGAGGAATTGATGTTATAATACAAAAAATGTTATTACAATTGTATATCACCATATACTATAGTCTATCACAAAATATATTTTAAAAATCCAAGTAATTTCCAAGAATCACAAATCATACTATATATTTATCCCTGAAATATTAAAAATAGTCTATAATATGTAGGGGTATAAAAAAGTGGAGGTTTTAATCTTTGATTATTCCCTAACAAGCAACAATAAACAATAGCATCCCAAAGATACAGCAAATGCACCAGCTAGCTCCAAAATAGAGGAGATTTACTTCAATGCCCTCATATTAACCAATCTACATAACCCCTTAGAACTATCTGTCTGAAAGGAAGCACTTTTTAAGACATGAAAAATGCTTCACACTCCAGACCACTGCAAAGTACTGACAAACATAACTGCAAGACAATTCAAGAATCAGTCCTCAATTCTAACACAACTTCACTTTTCAGGTACAGTCTATTGTTTAAATATGGTAAGTAGTCCTCCAATATACCATTTAATGTGTCTTTTCTTCTCCCTCATAAACCAGTAGTAAAGATATTAAGGATCAAGAACATAAAATTGACAGAGTTCATAAAGAATGATTACCCTGCAATAGCAAAATCCAAGTAATTGTGACTAGACTCACTACATGCCCTAAACATATTTATATCTTTAAATTTACAAAAAGTCCTTAGCTTATATCAAAATGATGGTACTAAATTCAAAATAGATAAGCAAAAAAGCAATCCGGAGTAATTAATCATAAGTATAATGTACCTTCATTGCACCATTCGTTGCAATAGCACTTAATGATATTGAAGTCAAGAAAGTGCACAGACCACAAAATGCCACCAGCACCAGGGACTCGCCTATGCCAGCCATCCCAACAATCCTGCAATTTAGAAAAATTCACAAAGGTAGCAAAAGCAATTAGTTAGTCTGAATGGTCAAAACACACAGCTGAAGTTGGCTAAGAATTAATAAAATGAATTTTGATAATTTCAAAGTTACTGGACAAGAACTCCACCAACTTCTCTCTCAAATACTAAGGCAGTATCGTTGATAAAAAGCAAAGCAGACGCTCAATTGACAGGGACAAATAGATTGATTTAAATACAAGAGTAGCAAAGCCAAAATTAACATAAGGGAATGTGAGTTATACCATGTGAAACGGATGTAGTAGATAATTCCCAATATGCTTTGCAAGCACGGAATAAATACACCCATCATCGTACCCAATTTTACCTCACTAGGCTGCAAAGGAAAAGCATCAGAAAGCATGTAAATTGGAGTTACTAACACATTATTCAGATTCACTGTTTCCAGACATAGCCAAAAATTATTTCAAGAATATATGCAAATTAAAGAACTATCTGACTTATTTAACTTTATAGATATACCATCTTCCACATAGATATATTATAGAAAACAAAAGAAAATAGAAGACTGTACAACTTCTTTTACTGTTTACTTTTTAATTTTTGATAAGGAACAATAGAATATCATTGATTAAAAAAAAAAAAATAACTACAAAAGAGTGAACAAGGCAACCACAAAAATGATTCTTCTAAAGCTCACAATTAAGTTTTCTACAACATACAAAAAAGACTACACCAAAATATCCAATGGTACAGTCCTTACCTTCTAATTCCATAATTTATATTCTCAAGCACATAAATATGAAAAGAATGACAAAATTCCAATATCAACAATATCAAGTCAATGAGATCTTGCAAGCACTTGTGTATAAAGGAAACATATAGTACTGGAAAATAAAAATAAAAAATTATCCATGAGATAGTGGCATGCCTAAGAAATTACCATACCTGTGGACGCCCATAAGGAACAGGAGCATCATCACCCTCTCTACCATCTCTACCCTCCCTAGGACTTGAAGGTGCTGCAATTTGCTCAGTCATACTGGACCAGCACAAAGCAAGAATATCAATAACAGCTTCAGCCAGAGCAACTAATAAAAAATTAATCATTTATGAGTCTAAGTTGGAGGATGCAAGAAATTCTATCAATACATCTACATACGTATGCTTTTGTAGCCATCCATCTGTCTATCTATCTATCTATCTAAATATGATGCTTTCTCAGTGTAAGGGAGTACAACTAAACAAAGGATGCTTTCTTTGTGTACGAGAGTACAATCCACAAGATAAAAAAGTAAGTTAATGAGAATAAACTGCTTACCTTCTAAGACCAAGAATGTTGACAAGAGAATCAAAACCAAACAATTCCAATTTGGAATCCATCTGGGAGCCATTGACTCCTATATTTTCATGATTTTGCCTGGCATCAGAACCCATGTTTTCCTGCGCATCTACTTTCACATTCCTGCCATGATTTATTAAAAAATAAGACAATCTCAACATGAAGGAATTTATAATATTATTTCCATTCAGTTGAATAACTTTATATTCCAAGAAACAAAAGTATCTTCATTAAAGTACATCTATAAATCAAACATAAATGCCTTAAATTTTCTTTTTTCCCAAGTTCTTGCAAAACATCACCAATACTTAACATGACACCCAGTCGGATCACAAAGGTGTTCTTGACATGCAAGGCCATGAAAATGGGAATTTCAATTTTGCACATATTAAGAGGATTCATCAGAGCAAGTAATAATTTCACCTATTTATAATTGCAGCAAATACTCGATCACTTTCAACAGAGCAAAGAAATTCTTATTCATTGAAAAATAAATGGAAAATTGTATAACATCCTAAGTTACTACACAGTAAACGTTACTAATGTTCACTTGCTTCTCGCTACTCTTAAACTAAAATTACACAGCCAATACAGCTTCTCATTTCCATATCCAATAAACATATCACATACACAAACAAATACAAATACATAATATATAAATAAATAAATAAACATATATATATATATATATAGATGAGTATGAAATAATGGGTCCATATCTAGTTTTTCTTTATATACAAATCTTTACATAATGTAATAAAGTCACAAAACATCAACTCGACAGTGTTGCCAAACCCTTGCACTTCTTGACGTTCCAAGCGACCGCAATCTCATCTACTACCTGCAAAAAACATTGANAGAGAGAGAGAGAGAGAGAGGTGTTTATACTTGAGAGAAGAACCGGAGGGAGATCCGGTATCCATAGAAGACATCTGAAGAACGGCGCGATCGTTAGCGACCACGGGCCGGTACTTGCGGCCGAGGGGCGCGCGAAACTCTTCGTCTCCGCCTTCAATGTCTCCATTGTCCATTTCCGATAGAATTTGTGATCGGTGATTCTGAATCTTTGAAGAGATATGTGAAGATGCAGATCCAAATTAGAATGAAACGAGATTCACATGCAGAGATCTCAGATACAAAGTGAAGAAAGAAATATAGTTCTCTTAACTCCGACCCGATTTTTGGTTTTATTTTATTTTTGTTTCGTAAGAGATATTAATTCAGAATAGAACCGGAAGTTTGTCACGCGCTTTTACAAGGCGCTATTTGTATGTATAGCTTTCAAAGATTCAACAAGCATGCTCCATTTGAAATTCTGAAAATTGTAAATATTAATAGAGTTAATATTTATACCCGTCAGATATAATCAAAATTCTTATTAATTAATAAAGTTTAAATTATTATAAATTAGTAAATATCACAAAATTACTTTTATATTATTTATTATTTTATCTTGATATCTAAAATTTAACAAAGAAGATTTCCATCATTCCTACAACCTCAGAGAAATATTTATTATTTTATCATATCTTATAGGGATTAACTCTATGTTTTCACTTATTATTATAATTACTAGAATTCTTTTAATATGCAGTACATACAAATGAGTGGGAGTGAATTGGGATAATGCAACTTAAATTTTTTGTATTATTTAATAACCCTTGATTTAATTCAAATTTAATAGTTAAAAAAATTGATACATTAGTATTGGATAAACACATATTTACCTTATATGTCAAAATTTTAAACTTAAAAAATTAAGTCAAGTACTAAATAATATCATTAATTCAAGAAAAATTCTAATGAGTATTAATATATAATTGTGGTTATGTCATAAAATTAGCACAATGCATATAATTATGTCACACATCATGACTCATAAGTATATAGATAAGAAGTTTACACAAATCTTGTCTATAACTACGTCAATTTGTCAATAGTTAATACTAATATCATATTGGTTAGGTGAAATGAAATATCGCGATTAAGAGATGATATGAAAATAAAATATATTTTTAAGTTGAAAAGATGAACATTTAAAATTAAACTATAATAAATAAATCTACATTATTTAATATTAATAAAGCTCAAACCAAATCGAATTGGTTTGGTCTAGTTTAATTTAGATTATTAAGTTCGTGTAGATTTCACACCCGCTAACAATACAAACACATTCAATTAGAAAGTAGTTGAGCACACCTCAAAAAGACAATTAAACCATAGGGACAACGACACACGATTGTTGGGATTGTGCATAGAAAGAGGCTTTTATCATAAAATTACCAATGTAGCAATGTTTCTCGACACAAACCTTATCGTAAGATCATCAAAGAACTATGACACACAATTGTTTCGAAAGAGGCTTTGTATTCCCAACGTATGCAGCCAGTTATCGAAGAAAACCTTGTCGGGAAAGAGTTGTTGTCGTCTGTGGTTGATATATCATATATCTCAAACATGTTTGGTGAAATATGTGCATTGAAAATCACTAAAATAAAATTTTTGATAAATTTGAGCATTTTAAGGGCAAAAGAAAGACTATTAATAATAATATAGCACATGATGATTGTGTTGCTCTTGCTAAATCCCTACTTAAAAGGGCATTTCAATTTGCATTGAAATGGCTACTGGACCTTTGCTGAATCACTACTTAAGGGTAATGTTGCTGTCGTTTTAAAGCTAAAATATTACCGTTTCATTGTCAAATCTTTTGCTTATTGTAGTAACTTATTCATTAATGGAAGCTGATTTCTGTATTTCAGTTGGTTGTATAATATTATTAAGCTTTTGACGTTACATTATTAAACTATTACAATAACAATTATTTAATTTGAATAAAGATATGCTTGCTTTTCAGTCAAATTACCTATTATGACTGTCATTTGCGGAGACCAAAACCATTTTTATATGCTCTAATTTTAAAAGTACCCTTGGAATTTTAGAGACTATCACAGGGATATTAAATTGGGGAGTATTCGACAAAAATACCCTTAAAATTTTGAAAATTAATTTTTTTTTTTTTTAAAAAGAGCTCAACTTGTATTTTTTTGAATAAGTTTTTTAATTATTAAGATATGTTAAAAATAAATGTTGTAAATAAAAAAAAATTGAAATTTTGAAAACTGGTTGCCTATAGTCGAGAATCATTATTGATGGTAGGTCTAATGACAACACCGACCCTATTGGATAGATCTTCAGTTGACCTTTCCCAACTTGCTCCGGTGAATGTCTTAACCACCTGCAGTGATGCCGAATGTGCCACCCAGGATATCGATCAAGCAGTCTTCAATTTTTATAAATTTTGTATATTATTCATTAAGCCATTAATTTTAATTATATAATTAATTTATAAAAAATAATTTTAGAATTTATGTTATAAAAGAATTAGAGTTTGTGTGATTAATAATCCATAAGTGGCTTTTTATTTTTAAAAGTTACTGGAATTCTGTAAGGGAATATAAATGACTTCAACTCCAAGCGTGCTCTTTGATAATTTTCAAAATCTTAGGGCGCCCTTCAATGAATATGCCTAAACTTAATATCCAATTATAATATTAGAAATTAAGGGTGGTTTATAAAAGACAGGGTTGATAACTGTATAACCCCTAAAACTTTAGAAAGTATCCAGCCACCACTTTTTTTCAGAATGTACACCTTACACCCCCTGCTGTTAGTGTAAGGGTAAATTAGACCTTTCACCTGCAAAATTTTGGAAAACAAATTTACGAGAGAAAAAAAATTTTAAAATACATAATTGAAAATAAAAACAATACAAATAATTTGAAAAACCTAAAATAATAAAGATAATTTAGAAAAAAATTTAAAACATAAAAAACAATAATTTTTTGAAAAATTCAAATAACAAAGAAGATTTAAAAATTAAAGCTTAAGAAATATAGAAAATTAAAAAAATATATAATTTTTTTTTGAAAAGTAAAAAATTAAAACCAAAAAATAAAAATAATAATTGGATGTTGGCAGCTTGATTGCCAACGAGGCGAAAAGTCGAACAATGATGGCCTGGCAAGGCTTGATCTAGCCACGCTGGGCTAGATCGGTGCCATGCCTGGCCAAAGAGGGTCCATCTTGCTATGCGTGGCTAGATCAGTGACAACTGTGGCCTTTGGTGTCATCGATTTGGCCATGCCAAGCCAGATCAATGTCGCATTGGCCACGACTTGTGTGGTATTTGTTGGATTTGGCCTAGAGAAGCCAAAAAGTCATCTAGAGTTTTTTAAGATTTAAAAAAAAAAAAATTGGTTTTGTAATTTTTTTTATCTTTTCAATGTTTTTTAACTTTTACTATATTTTTTGAAGTTTTTATTTAATTATTTTTGTAAGATTTTGTTAACTTTTTCATTTTGTTATCTTTTCTTTAAGGTTATGTATAATAGTTTATAATATTTATTTTGAAAAAATATTAAGGGTAAAAAAGTCAAGTAAACATTAATTTATGGACAAACTCGTAATACATTGGTCAGTTAGAGATTTCCATCCCAGTCAAGACCCTCAACTAACGATAGGGGTCTAAATGTACATTCCAAAATTTCTGCAGTTATAGGGGGTGTATAGAGTGTTAGCCCTGAAATGATATCACATATGTGAGACAATTGTATCCTACATGAAGCGATTAGATTAGGATTTAGGTTGAAATTTATAAATATATTAATCAAGATTGTAATGGCGGCCAAGTCACCATCCTTACGGTACCATATGACAATTATAAAGCAAATGACCTTGAATTAACAAATATTAGTGAAAGTTATTTTATATATTATCTAAAAGAATAGTAATTAGAATTTTTATTTAATCAATAGTTTCAGGATCATATAAGATTAGTTAAAGTGTTCGTAAACTGGTTTGGATATCCAAAGTCATAAAAAAAATATTATATATTATCATTATGTTATAAAATCTTCGTAATAACCTCATTTGTTTTATTAGAAAGAATAAATGTGGATTTAAAATTTTTGAAAAATAAAAAAAATAATTTGACCTTCTTATAGTATAATAATTTTGTACACTATTAATCATGATAAAATATTTGGGTCTGCCGGTAATTTGAAGACTGCTCCAATTTCCAAAGCCAAATCATTGTCACATCTATGTGCTTTTAACCAGACATTTAGATAATCAAAATCCTTATTATTAATTTGAGCACTTTTCCTCTACATTCCTTCTCTTTCAAGCTAAGCATGTAGTTTTGCTGACTTATAATTTATTCAAACTTTTGGGAATACTATTGTTATTATTCCCCAAAAAATTAAACAGTAAGGCTTCGTTTGATTCGTTTTTGGAAATATTATTATTAATATTCTCAAAAAAATTAAACAGTAAAATATTATTATTCCTAAAATATTATTTTATATTTTTTAATTTTTTTTAAATCTCCTAAATTTGATAATTTAACTAAACACCTTCAAATATTTTTTTTAGAAATTGCAAAAATACTCCGGCCACCCTCCGGCGGTGGTGGCCGGCTGTCCGTATTTAATGGGTGGATTGGAGGTGTTTTTGTTAACTTTTAATATTTTATTATAGAGATGTTTAGTAAATAAACAAACATAGGGGATATTTTTGTTAATTTTCAAATCCTACATCGTAATACCCGCCCAATTTAATTTTTTTTAAAAGATTATTCTAAAAACTATCAGAATAATGAACCAAACGGAGCCTAAAATATTATTCTATATTTTTCAATTTCTTTTAAACCTCTTAAATTTGTTAATTTAACTAAACACCCTCAAATATTTTTTTTAGAAATTACAAAAACACTTCGACCATTCTCTGACAGTGGTGGCCAACTGACCATATTTAATAGATGGATTGAAGGTGTTTTTGTTAACTTTTAATATTTTATTATAGGAATGTTTAGTAAATAAACAAACATAAGAAATATTTTTGTTAATTTGCAAATCCTACATCTTAATACCCGTCCAATTTAACTTTTTTCAAAATATTATTCTAAAAACTATCAAAGTTACATTATTTTGTGCCTCACTAAATCTGCTTCCACAGTTTTTCTTAAAGAAACGTAATTTGTGATTCAAATAAAGTTGTCTTTGCCTTGTTATACAAGCAATTAGAGAGGAGATCGAGTAATATTATATGAAACAAATTACACCATGATGTTCTGTCTCTCCATTTCAAATTTGAGATGATGAGAACTTGAAGATAACTATGGCACACAATTACAAGGTGATGGAACTTTTGGTTTTTGTGAAAAAAATATTAGAACTGGAACTACAAACAATAACAACTCTGAAACCTCGAGAAAAATTAATTATTGGAAATGGGGTGGGTGGTCTTACCCATCTGGTCACAAGTTTTTCTTGTGTTTTCCATGTCTTTCCTTCACCTTCTCAAGCTTCCCACTTCCATTATTCTGCTTGCTAACTGAGCCCTCTTGCGCGCTACACATCTGCGACTTTAATTTGAACCCGAATTTCTTTGAAACATTACCCCAAGTGCTAGAACCCTTTGACCGGCCCAACTTCTCAATCTCTTGCTTCATGCTTGAACATTCCTTTTCAAGCTCATAAACTCGCATCCTCATGTTATCCATTCCGACCTTCAGAACCTGGTTCTCCCTCACGGCTGATGCCCAGCCTCCCTCTTGCGAGCCAGCAAACCCACTTCTCAATGGCCTTGATCCATCAAGATTATCGGAAACAAGAAAGCAGCCGGCGATGGAAGTCCTGAGCTGTAGTTGCTCAAAGAACAAAACTTGGACAATTATCCTCAAGGGAAGCCTTTCATTTTGGGCGGCATGGGTGCAAGCTTCCAAGGATAGCTTTTGGCAGTCCATCAACCTGCAAAGTTGTTCTCTATCGGACTCTGCCAACCATGGGTGTGACTGCAAGTTTGACGACCACAAAAGATTAAAAGGCTTGAACTCATGGTGAAACTAAGTGTAATCAAGTACTTCTCAAAAAGTCCTATAATTTGATTCAAGGTTACATTAAAATCGTTTGCTTTAAGCCACTCACATATATTAAACCCCATTATTGTCATGTGCATTGAACATTAAGGTTAAGTCTCAAAGATCTTTCAACCACCTCCTTGAAAGCCGATGCCTGGAACACCTGGCATTCCTCTTAATGGGTATTAATAGCTAGAACTTCATTCACCGTTTCAACATGAAACAGAAGCAACCATATCCTATCTTCATTTGCAGACATTTGGGTTCTATAGGTTGACACAAAGGGGTAGCTCTCAGTTGGTTTAAGGCTTGAATGTCAGCTAGAATGACTTAAACTAAGAATAGTATGAAAAAAAAAAAAAAATTTGGGTAAGTAATTATAATTTTTTTGGGTAAGTAATAGTATGAAAATTGAATCATTTGTTGACTGTAATATATATTTAAGTTGGGCTTGGCAAATCTTGTTCTTTATTTAACACAAGCAATAATGTGCCCTCTAGATCAAGTTATATTCAGATGTCAATTTGAAACAATAACAGAAATCGCCGCAAATGCAATTAGCTATCCATATTAAGAAAGTGGTGTACCTTCAGATATATATCTATAGCCCGGTAAAGACCATCGTCCAAGGGCCTTGCATATTCAGGAACAGCAGCAGCAAGGGCCTGAAACTTGGGGAGCTTCAAATTAACATCAGGTGCAACCTCTGCAAGGTACCCGTCAATCAACTTGGCTACCATTGTAATTGGTGTCAATGAAGGTGATCCCATCAACTGGCCGTCGTCAACTGAACATGGAGAGGCACCACCTGTGATCTGATCCATAGCGAGGAAGTGGTCCAGAATCCGCTGCACACATTCAACATTGTAAAGTGTCTCCATGGAATAAGAGAAATTAGGCATCAAGAGATCTTCAAGAGTAGCTTGATCAAGCTGCATCCCAATTCGCTTTTCTAAATTGGATATGCATGAGAAGTTTGCTCTAAGTATCATGGCTGTTCGAAGTAGACCAAACAGAAACTTAGTTGGGACTAGACCCTTCTGCACCGGAAGTAACCGATCAATTTCTTCCAGTAAAACTTTTTGGTCTTCTTCTGATGGAGGAGTTGCCAAAGCCACAGGTGCTAGACGGGTGCTAGACTCACTAGTACCTTGACGCCGGTTCAGCCCAGGTAAGTATTTTTTGGCATAGAAAGTAAGGGACTCAGCAATAATTTCCTGTCTGATACCGCGAGATTCCATTACTGCAACCAACCTCTTATAGAGAGGTAAACTTAACAAAGATACATCCTCATACCACCAATCTGAAGTTGAATGTTTTGGTCTAGCCCCTGTACTTATCCCATTCCACAAGACACTCCCACCAGGACTCTGCATGGGCCCTCCGTGCTCCACTACAGGCCAACCGAATAAATTTGGGTCAGTAGATGCCTTCATGGCTAGAGACTCAATGCACCTCTTTACAATATTAAGTTTTTCCGCATATGGAAGAATATCATCACAGGTTTGTAGTGCTTTTAGAGAATCTTTCCAATTCCGAAGGACAACTTGATTGAGAAAGGTTTCCGTTTGCATAATAAGGTTACCCTCCCCATATTCCTCCGTCATTTCAAGAACCTCAGCTGCACACCGCAGGTATACAACATTTGAAGCAGTCAGTTCCAGTTTAACACCATAACAGAACTTAGCCACAAGTTCAAATGTTTTGGCTCCACCAGGGACGTCAGGGAGGTTTATGACACATTTTTCTTCTGATTCTTCAGATGATTTTGCTATCAATCTCTCCAAAACCCCACTTCTAGAAAGCAAAGGGAACTGCATAAATGGAGAGAAAAGATTTAGGAGATTAACGACACTGCACGGAGTTGACTGCCCATGGGAAAGACATGGGAAAGGAAAGTGCAAGAAAATCATAAGCTATACAAAATGCAGCAGGCTGACTCTAATAAGACTAGCTTGCAGGTTGACAGTCCCATTTTACACAGTGTAGTTCAGCCCATTGATGACATTACCATAAGTTTGAATAGCAGATAGTTTAATCAGGTCTTATACAAGGCCATATCATCATAACATTTCCCTGCCAAACTACCGAAAGTCTCAACTACAACGTTCAATGACATTATAACACGTTTAAAGTTAATAATAAAAAATAAGAAAATTATATTTAATAAAAATAAATAAATAACTCATATCACATGGCTCTGGGCAACATCTCATAGGCCATAAAGAACAATAGATAAGGTTTAACAAATTGAGGAAGAGCAAGTACAAACATGATTAACAAACAAATTACATAAAATATTGTAGAAACTTAATGGACTAGATTCAACCATGGAAACATAATTTGGTTTATAAACAAACCAAAGACAATATATTTAGTTTATGATATTTAGTTTATGACCTCCATTGGGTACACAGAGAAGAAGCAGCAATATACTATTTCTCAAATCAAGAAAGCAAATGATGCTAACATTTATAAACTACCAAGTGAGTGCATAGATGCAAAAATTAAAAGAAAGAAAGAAAAATTAGCTATAAGGATGAAAGACATATGTTACCTTGTGGAGATGAAAGGACATCTCTCCAACTTCAACAACAACATCACTCGGAAGACCAGTTGTGCAGAACCTATAACAATACATGTCAAGAAGGATCGTTATTTAGGCGCAGAACAATATGCATTACACACATGAAGCGTGAAAAACTAAGGAGCTGGGTACACTCATTAGAAGAAGAATTGTTTCTCATAGATGGTTAACATTTGTTAAACAACAAACTTTCTCTAAAACTAGACAATAAAATAAATCTGGTATCGAAGAAAATACACAGAATCCTATAACATGGTCTTGGAAACCAAGTTTGATGGGTATTTATAATGTTGGTTTTGAAGTGGATGTGTTTGTGATCAAGTAAAAAGAAATAACAAAATTTTCTTCTATTTCCCATGACACATGGTTTAAGAAGCTGTGTTTCATACATTGTTTCAAGAAATTAGGAGACTTTTCTTAAACTTTAATGCTTAAAATCATATTATGTATTAGAAGAATCAAATCAAGAATCATAGAAGTAGTTAGACTATCCTTAAACTAACCGATTTGTCTATCACTTTCCAAGCAGAAGCAATGTTTATTACTCGGTTAGTAGATCCATCAACCTCAAGTAGTTGAAGCATTCTTCCCACAATCCAAAGAAAAATTAATAACACTTCACCTAAATCTACCTCATTTTCAATGGCATACAAAATTTCTCCTCAGCAGCCAAATTTTAAACTTTAGATTGAAGATAAAACACACTAATTTCTTTAGGAAAATGCACGTGCAGGTAAGCTTTCACTGTCAACATAAAAGTTATTACTAAACCCACCACATCAGAAACACACCCAAATTTGGTAAGTTTGTGTTGATAAGGATAACACTAATTTACGCACACAGAAATTTAAATCAGTAACAACTTCAACAGTGATAGGAGATGAGCATAATTGACTAAAACTCAAAGCAAAATTCAGCAAATTAAAACTAACAGAGAAAATACATCACAAAGAGAACAAACTTATGGAGTTTCATACCAGGCCTGCCCTTGCCGTTGAAAGGCATCAGTTTTAGATCCCAGTTTCATACAAGCCATAATTTTTATCACAATGCAAGCTGAAAAATGTCAACAACTGGGCTTCAAATAAAGAGCTGCGCAAAAGAAAAACCCCCCCCCAAAACAGCCTCTTAAATCCCTGTCTCAAACTAAAACACCAAAACCAAGCCAAAAAACCCACAAACCCAGTTAATTATTATCTTCAAAGCACCACTCTCAAGCCAAAATCACCCACAAAAACCTCCTCAAACCAACCCAAATTCCTCAAACCAAATTAAAAAATTTCAAAATGTAGCTTCTTCAGTGACAAACCTGACCAATCTGCACCAAAAACTTCCCCCAGAATCTACCAGTAGCTTCAGAAAGTTAATAACTTTCACAAACCCACCTCTGATCCTATGAAATTAAACCCCAAAACCACTCCAAATAAGACATACCCACTTCAAAAAAAAGCACTCAAACAACCAAATCTCAGTCCAAAACCACCTAATTTCCAAATTAGGTCAACGATTTCAGGTTGCTCCGCTCCACTCCACTCCAACTCTCAACCTCACCAAGAAGAATCTTTTAACTGAAACTTAAAAAAGAACCCAAAAGGCCAAAACCACTCATACCCATTAAAGAAAAGAAGCAACTAAGCCACTGAAATGGTCCTAAGATTCAATAAATAATCAATTCCAGGATACCCCATGGGATAATAATTAGAAAAAAGAAAGGCAGAGAAGTTGAAAAACTGAAGAAGGGTAATTAGTGGGACGTCTGAAACCAAGTCTCACACATGCATAAAAGTGGGACCATTTGGCTTGAAACACACTCATTGGTTTTCTTGAACTCAGCTTCATTTCATTTCATCTTTAAACTAAAATAAAACATGAACAGTAATGGTGAGGGTTTGACTGGAAAAGAATGAGAAATTTTTTAATGGTGATGACAAGCTTTGAGGTTACAGCAACCTGCTTTGTCCAGCTAGGCCATGTGGGTTCGTTACTTAGCTTTGGATTTCTTACAAAATTTTTAATTAAAGTGGATTATAATGCACGTAAGATTCATGTTCTTGTGGGATTTCAAGGACAAAAAGAATATTAATTAAAGATTAGAGAAATATTAACAAAATGAAAAGATAAATTTTGGCCTAATTATAACATAATCCGCTTGTAGAATTTAGTAAATAATTTATTTTAAATAGTAATGGATATAATTTTGTTGAATTTATTGTTATTTAGACGAGTTAATAAATTAAATGTTATTCTCTATTAAATGACATTTTTTTTAGATTAAAAGAAAAATGACACAAATTTTATACAGTATGTTTCAATAAACTGACATATTTACCATTCCAAAAAGACTTTTCATGTAACATATGATTAATTTTGTTTTGTGCAATTTATATGTATAGACTATAGTATTACTCGGTATTTAATATTTTATACAATAATAATATTTATATCATTTTATATGAATTTGTCACAAATTAGTTGTCTAGTGGATGCAAATCTTGTTATACCAAAAGTTTTCCATGTGTTATTAATTGAATTAAATATAATAATTTTGGGAAATCTTGATTTAAGGAAGAACGTTGCAAGAGTAATCAGAGGTGATTAAATTATGTTTCATGAAAGAGTTGGGGTGGGGACCAAAGACACAGCCTTTAAGACAATGAAGGGGTAAGTTTGGAATTTAATGTTTGAAGGAAACATCTTCAGTACAGGTTGGTTTTGTTTAATTTTGAGTAGAAAGTTGCGATGCTGTGGAACACAAACACAAATTTGCCGCTGGGACGGCACTTAAATTTGAATTGACCTTTTTGACCTGCTCTCCTGATTAAGTCAAAAATTAATTGGGTTGGGTATGGGAGCAAAATACAAATACTTAAAACAAATGAAATGTGTTAATCGAGTATGGATTAAATCAAGGAATTCATTAAAAACATGTTTTTCTATTTTCTTTTTATAATAAATTTTATATTAAAAATGTACTTTTGAATTATATTTCTTAATTTTCAAAATGTATAATATTTTTTACTGAATTTGATGTTATTCCTCATAACTACGTTCTCTTTCAAGCCTTTCAATTAATTAAAGAGACAATTGTGTAGTTGAAACCACTACTGGATGACATGATGATAAAAGAGCAAAAAGAGGTTCCATAAGTTATTGAATTCGAATTTCCTTAAACACTAATAGGGGTGACCATTAGGATTCTTATCCAATTAATAGGGTTTTGAGAGATTAGTTGAAGCGCGAATAAACTGACTTAGAGACTCTAATGATTAAAAAAAAGACAAAAAAAAAAAAAAAAGAGACATTGATGTAGTTGAATGTAAATTTGTGAAACAAATGCAATAATGAAGAGTAGTTTTGGTGTTGGTTTGGGGGGCCTACCAGAGATCCTCTCATGGTAAATAATGAACATGGAATAATTGATTAAAAAGATTATGAATGATGAATTAAAATGTCTGTCCCTTTCCAATTTATCATAACATTAATTACTGAATATAAGAGCCATTAAGGCATATATAATTAATTAATAATATCATTAAAATTTTCATAATTATATAAAAGACTTTATTGAAATACTTATCTTCTAATATTACCAAATTAAGCACAATCAGCAAAATAAATAAATGTGGGGCACTCTTGCTATTTAATGTAATATGTCTAATTTAAAATTACTTTCTCAAGCATTTCTTTGAACACTTATATAACAGTATGAATTGCAATTCAATAGGTTTACAGTTAATGAGTTGGCGTACGAAGGGGACGTTCCATATTATATATTTATTAATTTATAAAATAAATTCCAAAACAAAAATAAGAATTTTAATGTTGTATTTTTAACTTATGAAAATGATTTCATTTTCATTTATGAACGTATTTGAAGATAAAGACATTAAAAACTAAAAATAATATTTGTTCTTTTTTTTTTTTTTTTGGAAAAATTATATTAAATAACATTTTTTTTTTTTTTGGTGTGAGTTGAGAAATAACCCATTTGTAAAAGCCTTTAAAAAAAAAAATGGCCTTATTTCCCAATTGTAGTGTGGGTTAGACCAAGTTACTCTTTCTTAACTAACACTCAAAGTGAATTGATCAATCAAATAAGATTTTTTATTTTTTAGCACTCTATTTATATTGGTTTCTATCGGTGGTGACCAATAGACTGATATAGAGCCCTGAAACAAAACAAAACTCAATTCAATTTCTATGTTGATTGATAGATATTTATCAGTTGGTTGTCAATCACTTTGTATTGTGTTAGTTTATTTAAAAAGGAGTAAACTACATGTTTCCACCTAAGGTATAGCGAAATCCAAGGTAGAGGTAGGCAAGAACCGGTCCCTTATGGGCCTAGACCTGGGCCCGTTTAGGACTGGTCCCAAATGGGACTAGTCACTCATGGGCTTGGGACCATGAGAAACATTAGGACCCGGACCAGGCCCTAGGCCTGATCGGGACTGGTCCTATGGGCCCATGACCGGTCCTAGGACTGGTCCCATGGGGCTTGGATAATTTCATTTTCCTCTCTAAATTTTTTTTATATTTTGGGGGCAAAACGAAATTTTATAGGGGGTTTTTAGTATTTTTTAGGGGTTATAAATTTTTTAGACCTCGAAGATTTTTTTTTTTTATAAATTTTGTAAAATTTTATTTTAGCCCTCGTAATTTATTTTATTTTAAAATTAACAGGGGGTTTTATGTAATTTGGCAGGGGACTATATTGAAAAAATATAAAATTTTTTGGGCCCAAGCTTGGGACCGGTCCCAGGCCCGGGCCTTGGAGGAGGGCCCAGTGGAGGGCCCGGACCCTCCTCCTTAGCCCTGGTCCCGTTTTGGGACCAGGCCTCCTAGGTCCGGTCCTCTCAAGGACCGGTCCTAGGACCGAGTTTTGGAGCTGGGCTTTTGGGCCCGGTCCCAAATGCCCAGCTCTAATCCAAGGTTCCTCTTGATGCTAAATTTTGACACCAACTAAACGCATGTGAGAAATATTGAGCTAACTCAGAAGACACACGTTTACGGGGATATTGAAATGAATAGAAGAAGAACGGTGTTTAAAGTGGTTCGGATACTTAAATAAGCGAATCCTACGTCCACTGGTATCGTATTAATATATGAGATCAGGTCGCGTTCAGCGAGCTGATTTACAAGAGATTACAAGAGAGAGAGGGAGAGAGAATATATATGCTATTCCAGAGAGAAATTAGCTAATCCCACAAACGGGAGAGGAACCCTCTATTTATAGTGGAATGAATTGAGGTAATGATTACTAAATCAGGGAGTGGGTCAGATTGCCGTGCAAATCCTTCCTTGCATCCCGTTACTCACCTGCTCGAGTGATTTACTCGACTCTTGCAGGGATTGGACACGTGGATTGCCTCTAACCTTTCACCAGCCTGGCGCACATCTACTGCACTGGCAGGAGCATGCCGCTTGCGTCAGCGTGCGACGTGGCTGCGTCTGAATGGCTGAACACTTACGCTGACAGGGCTCTGCGTCAGCCCTACTTTTCTAGGCATAACAGGTCCCAACCCTAGTTTCAATTCCTAGCCTTAAATTAATACAGCTTTTGGATTGGAGTACAATATAAGTAGTGTTATTACCAAACTACTTTTGAAAAATAAATTAATAATTATAGATTTTCAGGCCGATTTGGCCGTTTTCTAGAGCTGACAACCTTCCCCACCACCTATAGCACCTCTGTCCATCCACCACCAAAACCTCACCCTCTTCCTGTGAATTCACCCACCATCACCTCGTCTCCACCGCAAGTTTGGAGAAGTTTGATTTGTTTGATTGTGCAGTTGCTTTGTTCGGTAGATTTTGGAGATTTATGGGAATATTGATATTTGATTGTGTGTAGTTCTGAGAAGTTTCAATTGATTGTGATTTGTTGGTGTAAATTTCTGAAATTTTTGCCATACCCAACCCATTTAAGCAACTTTCTCCCCCAGAAGCATACCAAGTGCTTAATGAAAAGCCCCTACCCACCGACCACCCCACTGGGCCCAAAAGAAAGGCCGATGGACGACAAACAATGAGTGAGGGAAGTTGATGTGGGGATGGGTTTTGAAGAGGGGAGAATGGGGGGTCGAATAGAGGTGGTTAGGTGAATTTTTGAGAAGTGAGGTGATCGAAAAATGGCTGCAAAGATGGAGGTTTGTGAAGTCTAATGGTCATCACTTTTTGGCGAATGGAGGGTGGGGAAAGGTGAGGAGGAAGCAAGGAAAGGAAGAGGGCTATTTTAGGTGGAAAGGTAGCTAGAAAAAGGTTAAAAATGTCGGCAACGACGTTTGCTAATGTGCGTCGCCCCTGGCTACAATGCACCAGTCATTATACATGGATGCTACAGTGTCCCACATATGTGTCTGTCACCCACCTTTGGTTTCAAGAGTAAAATAACTATTTTATCATTTGATCATTACATTAAACGATTTTCTGTTAATTTAAGGGTCAAACTATCAAATTTATGAAATCAAGGTGAAAACCTAGGATGGGAATATTGAAGTTTACTCTAAAAAAAAAAAGCTATTGGTTGATGTGCCATCTCATCCGCAATTCAATCATCACATAAATTTGTATTTGTAAAAAAGAAAAAGAAAGTGTGACAAAATTGCATGCGCATGAGAAGCATACTATTGCATGCATGTTGATGTTGGTGATGTACGCCTTAAGATTAAGAGACAATCACAAGTTTCAGAAATTCTTTACTTGCATGCCCTCCTTTAAACTCATTTTCCCGAGAAAATAAAAATAAAAATAAAACAGTGAAAGGTCAAACACTTTGCTTGCCTTGTACTTTTAGTAGCAAATGTTACTTGTTGATTCCAATCTCAAAGTTACCTGGTTTACTTATTATACTTTGTCTTGGAAAATGAAACTTTGGGCCGCACGCAT